GAAAATAAAAACAGGGGAATATAAACGACGGGGAAAAGAAAGGCAGAACAGTACAAAGTACGTCGTATGTTGTACAAAACCACGGGGTGCAGGCTGCCGAAAACGAACACGAGCGTTTTCTCGACTTTTCCGATCTCAGTCGCATGAGGCGTGAATCGAACAAAAACTCGGGGCCGGGCTTTTGGAATATTCAAAATCTGCAGAGCCGTTGCTTGGCCAGGCTCAGTTGACAGTGAGGTATCTTCCTGTCTTGATTACTAAAACGGCATCATGTATATCTCAGTTTCAATCCAAGCTCATATGATGGAAGTTCGTACGTCACGTCATACGACGTCTGAGATACGGAGGAACTAAAATATGGCCAGGCGAGGCGAAAGACAAAGACGGAACCTCCCCCAAAAAGAACATGCACCCTGGCTAGATGGATTGACGGAACATTTGCCTGCTGTACGTCGTATGTCACCTGTCAGACTGGCCACAGTCCTTTTTCTTGTCTTCTTACGTTTCTTGCGTTCGTTGTTCAGGATTTGAGAGTGGCCGTCTTGTAGGATTTTCCGCTGAGAACAAAAATAAGAGATTGCGAGAATCTTCCGAAAAGTGCCCGAGGAAATGTACAACCACCAAGAGGGAGACGGGACGACTTCACGACTCCGTCCCATGAATGTGTCTGCGGAAAAGGGTCGAAAGGTCGACCCAAGCGCGTAAGAGTTATGTAATGCTGTACCTGAATCCCGCCCTCTGCAGACGTATGTGTAATACCCTCTGGGCGTGGCGCAGAAACGGTCAAGGGCTAGGCAAACTAGGGCAATGGTCTTGGCGTTGTTGGCGTTTTTGACGTGGTTGGTGTCGTTGGTGTTGGTTGTATTTTCTGTTGGCTCTTTGTTTCCTGGGTGCCATCCACCGTTTTTTCGGCGGTGCAAATGGGCTTGTCCATTCTCCAAATCCCAAGAGATTGTTACCCTAAAAGTCTGGTTCCTGATTGTTTTCGCCAATTCACAATGTTGGGGTAGGGGATGGACACCATCTCAGAGAACAAAAAGTGTCCTCGTGGACCAGCTCGCCATAGCTGCTCTTCCTTTTCTTTTTCGTAGTGTAGCTCTAATTCACGGCATTTGAGTCGGAGCCTCATTCCTGTCTTCGACGCGATTGGACCATGTGGCAGTTGAAAACGACGGAGGGTGATTACTGTCGATGTCGACCACCCCAACGGTCAACGGGTGTGCTCCGTTGCGATTAAAAATCATACACACCCCATACTATATCTGTGCACGTAGTAACATCCTCTCATTGTATGTTGTACACTGTACGGAATACTATAATGGGTAAGACGCTGGAGGGTTTATTGCCGGCTATTGCTTGCTGGCGCCATCAGGTGATAGGACTTAACAGATAATGGGCAGAAAGAAAAAGGAAAAAGGTCCAGTGCGATCAAAGGGCCAACAACAAGGGAGGCTACTGTGCGAAACGGAGGAGTTAATGTAATTTGTCTTAACTCGCGTCACATATGATTGTTTGTCATCTGGTTCATCCATCCTTCATGTCGCGCCTTGTGGCTAATGCGACTTTGCCAGTGCCGGTCGCCGATCCTAGTGCGATGTAATTACTCGCTAGGGTGCCTCTGTGGCTCTTTGTATGACTATGACTGTTGCATCGGCTTCTGAACGGTTTCGTTGGTTCCAGCCTCCATTACGCTACATATCTTGCAAGAAAGAAAAGGAAAAGAGGGAAGGACAACAAGTGAATAAGGGTTGAAGAATGGAGAGTGACAACATCCCCAAACCATGGCGTGCGGCCAGCAACCTGAAACTGGACAGTGAAAATACACGAAGAAAAGTATTCAAATGAGAATTCGTGAATTGGCAAAGCGGACAAAATGCGGTGATATGCACGGAACGGGTGCCGTCCCGCACTTGAGCGACTCGACCGCGGTGGGAATAAAGAAGGATGAAAGAAATACCGTCAGTGGTGGGGATTGGCCTGTATTTCGAGCTGATTGTTAGGCAGGACAAGGTCAGTTTTCCAACGGGGCCATATCTAAAGCCAGCGTATGTTCTGGATTGGGCGTGCAACTCGCCAAAGTCCACTGGACTCGGAGACTATTTCGTGCTCACGCCGACGAGCGTAAGAATGGATCCTCCACTGGAATAACTTTTTTTTGGCCGTTTCTTTGATTAGAAACAGTTGGTAAGAAACCTAGGTCCGACGTCACTTGCTATTGTCATCATTCAGACCGGGTTCGATCTCCATATTTTTTTTTGGTAAAAATCTAGCCGGTACGGAGCGCCTGACCAAAACGTGACTTGAACGTTGATGGCCACCTGAATGTGTGTGCACAGCATGAAAGCAGAAAGGAATCTCGAGACTGCCTCTTGTCCGTCGTGACAGACCGATTTGAAATCGAAACAAACCAGGGCGCCAGGGAACGGGAAACAAAAGAAAGATAAACTAAGGAAGGTCTATGTTAGCACATGTGCCACAACACGAAAACACAACATGAACACGCTCTTGTGAGACATAACGTTTAGTCCTTGATTACTTCATCATTATTCTCAATTTTTACCAGACTGCCCTCGTTGTCCAAACTCATGTTGCAGCAGGGATGTGTGGCAAAGACGGGACTGCAGCGCCAAAAAGTGCCTGCCGCGTTGGAACACGTTCCTGACCTACCTTGGCTGAACCGGTATTCAAAAGAAAGCCGGACTTTGCGCGTTACACTTTGGAATACAACCCAATGCTTAGGCAGAGCAGACGTGAGAATTAGACGATCCTGGCGTGCTGTGTAAAGGGCTCGAGACGAAGGAACGTGGAATCAGTCATCCTGTGGACTACTGCTAGAATTTGCGCCCGTTTCCCGTCTATTTGGCTGGTGATCGCTCAATGTTCTCCGAGCGCGCTTCATTTCGATACCCAAGGCGATCACGGACTGGTCTCTGGTTTATCGTCTTTTTGATCTTCTTTCACTCGATAGTTTAATTCCCATAGGCACATCTTGTTTTTCGTAGTCGTGGTAGGTATGTATGTTGTCTGCGGTCATCTACCGCCAAGCAAAGACGGTGCATGGGCCCGTGCCTCGTTGCACAAATTTTTATGCACAGATTTCCCCAACTCGCGCTTCGGACATAAAACTCACACCGACCGTTAACGTTGCTCCGTCCGGGCAGGATTGAAAATCCCGTTCCTGCGGGCCTCTTGTTTCCTCTTCGTGCGGATGTCTCTTTACTCCCCATGCGTTCTTTTTGGACCTTGGCTTCAACAGCTGCATGGAGTTTAGATGTTCCCATCTTTGAACCATGGATTGTGTCAGCTGGACAGAACGGGGCAGCTATTTGATGGTTTTCTGACGGTGTTTAATGTTTCTTTTGTACATGCTCAGATGCTTTGCCAACTGCAAAGTGAGATTCAATAGGCCCACACCGGTCGTGAACGTGATGTCTTAGCCATGGCGCGTAAATCGGACAAAAAAAGTAAAGGATTGCCCTTCTTGTCGTGATGCATGTGCCGTTCGTATGCGTGTATGAACTGACCGCCGCTTGTTCTTAATTTTAAGGTTCACGTCATGCAAGTTTGCAAGCCTTGAAAGCACAGAGTCAGTCATAAATCCAGCCTGCCAGAGAATGCATGTTTTGATCACGAAATGCGCAGCTTACACATAGACACGGCCGAGGAAATGCAACGGTATCACATAATCTGGACGACAATGGACAAAGGCGGCGCACCTATCCACAGTCACTGGCCCTTACTCTGCAACTCAAAGATAACGCAATGTCCTTACTTTGTCTACACATCTCAATCTTTCCATGTAAGCTACCAACATCCAATGACAACAAGTATGTTTGCATTTCTCATGGCCTCGCACAAACTTACCTGGGGGCAATGAACAACTTCGTAGTGCAACATAGCTCGCAGAGGTGGAACAAAACGAAAAGAAACAGGGTCGTGAAAAAGCATCATGCTTATACGGCAGAGAACTGTTGTGAATTAATAATGCCAGCGTGGCCATTATCTTCCGTCGTCAGTAATTATACGGCCGTTTGGTGGGTGCTTGCGCTTTTCACTCCAGGTCTGTGCAGAGTATGATTGATTGTGTCTTTCTAATGTTTCTTCTCTCCCATTCTCTCGTCTTTTTCTTCTTTTTTTGTGTGCATTTTTATTTTCTTTCGCGCTTTCGCGCTTTCCTTTATTAGTCGCCGTTTTGCCGTCTTATTTTCAGTCTTGACGGTAGGTCCCCGCTGTTTTGTGCTAGTGGGGCGCTTCGAGGGAAGAGGGGGGCGTGTAAGTTGCAACAGGGCGTACAGGGCGATCCAGCACAATGCCCTTTTTGGAAGGGGGTCGCTTTTGCTGGGTCTCCTGTTCTCCGTATTTCCCTTCGGCGACCGTTTCATGGGCTCCTGCCCGTTGTAAGGGACGCTGGTAGCACATAGGGAAGGAGGTGGCCTGTAGAGTCTGCCCTATAGCGCCCTCGTACCTTTTTTCACTGCTTAGGCTTCAGGCCTTGCACCCACGAATCTGCGAGGAGCGTCCCCTTCGCACTTTCCTGGTCTTTGTTTGCTTGTTGCTCTTGTTCTTGCTGATTTCTTTATATTGCTTACTTTTCCCACTCCCTTCGCACCTTCCCTCTCTTGCTCCTCTTCGCCCCCTCCCACTCTTCTTCTGGTCTCGTTTCCGTCTTCTACTTTTTTACAAAGTCTCACGTCTCTTGTTTGTCTCTTGACACGGGTTTGCATCACGTCCTGCAACACCGCAACACTATTTGATATATCGGCCCCCAATAAATACGTGCCACGCCTCGTCTCGCCCACCTCTCACGTCCCAACTTCCCATGTGGTTCATTGTCGACACCGTCTGCCAGCCCCGTCTGTCTCGACATTGTAGTTTACGTTGATATATCTTCTACCATATTCCATACTTCATATCTCAAACCCACAACATAAAAGCCAGTTATCTGTTTTATGAGCTGTTGTTGAAATACAACAAACTCGCCACAACACAATACCGGCACCATGCAGAACGGAATACCAACGCCGCCGTATGACGAGCAGAGTCAGAAGCTGCTCCAGACTCAGCAGCAGAAGCAGCAGCAGCAACAGCCACGTCCTGTCTCACGCAAGAGCTCAAATTCCGCATCACCACCGTCGACCGTCCCGTCATCACGGACAGCCAAGAGCGGCAACGGCAGCGGCAGCAATGCCACGGCCAGCCACGCCCACGGCACGACAACGCACCAGCATCACCACAACAGCCACCGTGCTTCCAAGCGGTCGGGTACGACGCCGACGTCGTCATCCCATTCGCACTCACACCACTCTGCCTCCTCCTCTTCTCACCAGTCCAGTAGCAATGTCTCTGCAGCAGCTGCTGCTGCCGCGGCCGCCCACTCCCATGGCTCGCCGCATCACGACGGCGATGGCCGCCACAAGCGTGTATGGAAGGCTTGTGAGCGGTGTCGCATGAAGAAGACCAAGGTACGGACTATATGAGCTGCATTTTATTTGTTGCAGTTTTATAGGTTTGTTTGTAAAATAGCAACCACAGCAGGCTAACACTTTACAGTGCGATGGTGAATTCCCGTGTAAGCGTTGCAAAGACGACGGCCTTGTGTGCACAGCAGGCACGCGCAAGAAAACCGAATATAAGCAATTGCCGAAAGGGTACGTACAAGACCAGATTCAATGAATTTTCATATATGGTCTCCTTTATTCCATGTTCCATTGTCCGACGTTCAATCGAATACATCATCGACACACCATCGACACAGCTGACTAACTATCCCCGAACCCCAATAGATACGCAGAGGTCTTGGAGAACACGCAATTCGCACTAGTCGCAACGGTGCACAAGCTGTATGCCATGGTTCGTGCGGCGAACGCATGGGAGCTTGGCGAGCCGGAGCTCAACGAACGCGGCCAGCCCGTCATCCACAGCATCGCCTCGAAGCTGGGCTGCATCCGCCCGAACAACGACCCCGACCTGCCCATGGGTTCGTCCGTCTTCCCCGAAAACGAGCAGGACCTTGCCGAACTCGCCTCGCAGCTCGACGACCACCAGAAGAAGCGCGAGGCTGAGCAGGCCGCGACAGCTGCCGCTGCTCAGGCCGAGAGCCAACAGAGCGAGACGACAACGGCCGCGACGGCCATCCCGATTCCCACCATGTCGACGTCGATGCCGACGACCACGGGCATTCTTGCGAGCAACAACACCGCTGCAGCCAGCACGAGCGCCCTCGACTTTAGCCTCGGCGCCCGCTTTGACCGTGCAAGCTCTTCCGAAGACTTTGACGCCTTCTCCGACATGGACGACTACCGCAAGAACGTCTTTGGCAGCGGAAACGGAAACGGAAACGGCAACGGCAGCAGCGTGAACAGCGCCAGCACGACCATGTCGCCCCGGAGCCTCAACTTCAACGACTTTGACGTTGGCTCGAACCAGTCGGACGGTTTTGCCGCCCCCTCGCCCACCATGCCGACGACGACCCAGTACACCAACTGGATGACGCAAACAGCGCCCATTGATACGCCAAACCAGGTTGCGGCAGCTCAGCAGTCCCAGCAACTGCTGCAGCTGCAACAATTGCAACAGCAGCAGCAACAACAGCGGCAACTGCAGAAGCAGCAGCAGCTCCTCCAACAGCAGCAGCAGCTCCAGCAGCAGCAGCAGCAACAACAACAGCAGCAGCAGCAACAGCAGCAACAGCAGAACTATAAGCAAACGCCTCTCGCGCTCTCCATCCCGACGACAATGGCGACGTCTTCGATGCCCATGATTAGCGGAACGACGACTTTTTACACATCGGAGATGCTGCGGCAGGGCCTGCTCGAGTCCAATTTTGGCGCTATGAAGCCGCATGTTATTGACACGCCGGAGCTGATGCTCGGTATGGGCGACCCCATGATTTTCGCGGGCGACTACGACGACAACATGATGTAGTTTTCTGGTTGAATGTTTTTGGAGACGCGCTCACTTGGGCTTCCTCGCCAATTGGCGGGTTGAACGCCCGCACGAGGCTGGCCGCAATGCAGACGGCGCAGTCTCTCGTCGTTTTCTCCCCGCCCTTTTCCTATTTTGCTGCCTGCTCGGCGTCTGTCCCCTCTACGAACGATACAATCTATATGGACGGCCTGCTTATTTTGGCTTTTTGTGGGGGGGGAGGTTCAATGCTTTCCTTTTCATGCTAAAAGGCGTTATTTTTATCTTGTTTTATGTCCGCATTGCATTGGGTGGAGGTATCACATGTTTTACTTTTCCCTACTTTTCTTTTAGGTGTTTTGGGGTCTGGCTGTCCTTTTTTCTTTTTCAAATAGAGGTGTTTTTGGATGCATGCAAGTCGTATTTCCTGGAACCAAAACGAGCGGCATTGGGATTTGAGAGGAGGATGACGAAGACAAGAGACCCTTAAGTAGCTCGGAAAGTTCTAATTGGCCGACGTCGTATCTTTCTTCCCGTCTCCGTTCAACAATGTACAAAATAACAACGCATTGAGCACATTGCGAAAACTCCCATTGCCAAATAAAGTTGCACTCTTCGTCGGGCACCACAGAATACTCTTGCCTTTCTCCGTATTGTCTAGCGTTCGTTTTCCGAGACTGGTAAGCGAGGCTGTGCTCTTCCGTTTCGCTGGTGCCCCAGAGTCTGGTGGTGGCCTTACCAGCATTGGGCCAGGCCACGTTGCAGCGTATTACGCGTATCACGGAGCAAGGCGCACGGTGAAAAGCACATCCTCCAATATATCACACCTCAAACCTCTGACCGCTGAGAGGGTTGATGACTACGTGAGATGTTACGGAGACGAAGACTGGGGACACAAATACGCATGGTGACGTCCCAAAGCTTAGCAGCCTTACCCACCATGAAGAGCTGCTCAAGCGGCCCCCAAGACAATTGGACAATGAGAAATACGAAATACGGCTGTCAAGAGAAACCGAGACCAACTGGGCACACTAGGGAAAGGGCGATGGGAAAATAGACGAAAAGAACAAAGTGATAATTGGCTATCTAGGCAGATGGGAGTTCAAGAGCACAAAGGCGAGTGCATTGGGAGAGGGCATTGGGAGAGGAGAGGCTAGTATGTCGTAGAGGTAATGATGCTGTTCCAGAGGCACATGACCCCCCTCCCAGTACGACCATTGGGCATTGGGTCTGGGCAGTCCTGCGTGTTCGCAGATTGTTCCCTGCTTTCGTTCTTGTTCGTCTCGGCGGCTTCTTTTCTGCTTGGCACCAAGCACCAGAGTCTTGGGGAAGAGGAGAACAAGTCTGGGCTGTAGTTTTGTGGTCACTTTCGCCGCTTGGCATCAGAAGCAGCTCAGGACGGGCGGAGGAAACGTGCAGATAACAAACAGCGATGGCATCTTACGACGTTCATAAATTGCTACGGAAAACGGTTGCTTTGTTTCTGTCCCGTTGGGTCTTTCTTAGCCTTTGTGCCATCTCTACCATGTTAACGGCGTAAGACGCATTCACGTCGTATGCCGTGCTTTCGGTTTCTGTTCTTTTCTCGTTTTGTCTCTAGTCTGACAAGGCTTTGCACCAACAGCAAAGCAGCATCCAGCCATGACCTCATAAAAGTCCACATCTCACTAAAATGGCTGACTGGTCGATGGACGCATTTTGTTTCCTCCCTGTGCTCAACCATGTGAATACTTTGGGGCTCGTTTGGCTGTCGCCCCAACGGACAATATACGGGAGATGCATGAGAACATTAGGGCGTAAAAAGACATACGACGTGTAGAAAACACAAGTACTATAAACTTGCTGAGGTGATCCTGTCAGCGGGAATCGTATAAATGTTCACAAGAAAATAAGAGCAACGTGCACTAACACAGCACTAACTCCGCCCTGGTAGGGATCTGACCGTCAGCGACGTACATTGAGAACACACGAATCTGACCGTTTTGTCTGCCCGACAGATCCTCCGTTTGCAAAGCCTGAAACGGATGCCCCCTTCTCTCGGCTTGTCTGACATTCTTACGGCGTCTTACAGCTCAGCGCGCGCGCCGTGTAAAATAGTCAGTCATCCCGGAATTTTCCTCAAACGCCCCGTCCGCCGGCGGACGACAGAGTGGAAAATGAGCAAAAAAGCATAAGGCTGGGCCGTGAGATGAGCGTTATCGTTATGCTCTTGTAGGCTGGGGCCCTGTGGGGAATATGGCAACGCCTTTTTATTTTTATTTTTATTTTTTATTTTTTTCGAGGAAAAATTCAGTCCCGCATTTGAAATCAGAGAAGCCCAAAGCTTAGTCGCCCCAACTGGTTTCGTGGGTCGCTTCTGCTCTTCCTTTGGAATCCAGGCACAGTTAATTTGGAAGAAGTCCATCGAAGCTTTTAGTCGTTTTTCTCCTTTCCCCTGATTCATTCCTTCAGGGGAGGTTTCAACCAAGTACGACACAAATTCGTGACGATTTCGTAGGCACAGTGTACGATCTGATTATGTTGCACGGCACAATTCCGTTTTACACCCCTCTCCGTTTTCTACAAGGTCGACGTCTTTTCTGGACTGGACCTGTTCAGATAACCAACTCACGAGGCAGTGCAGGGCGGCCACACATGCACTTCAGGATACTAAAGTGGTAACGGCATCACCCGTTATGTCTCTCGTCTCCAAGATCCAGGATCATCGTGCGTCGCCTTATGCCTCTCCTGTCTCGTCGGTTTTCTCCTTTCCTCCTAAATCCTTGTCTCCTCGATGCCATTTCCCGTCCAAACTCCCTCCTGTGTCGCGGGGGAACTAACAAAACACTTTTCGTCCGTCCGGCCCACGGAGTTAAGCCCGTCCGTTCGCCGGCTTTTGCAGCACTCTTTTTGGTCGTCCATTTCCATCCGCCTCTGATCGACCTTTAATTCCATACTCCGCGTGCGCTCGCGCGCGGAGTATGGAACTGAGTGCGCGCGGCATGCGCCCTGTTCTGGCATAATCCCCTTCTGCACGCCCTGGGACCTTGTTCCTTTCCTCCCACCGTCTTTCTGGCTTATGGTTGGCTGGTCCAAGTCCGCAAAGTGCTCGTTTTCGATATGATCTGACCCTTACGACGTGCGCACGGGGTATTTTTGTTCTCAATTTTGTTGTGGGATTTTCATCAGTCTCACTATTCATGTGCCCTTGTGCACTTGTCATCAACGCTCGAATGTTGTGCCGATCCCACATGGGCTTTTGCTTGCGCTGGCTGGTCCTCGATATTTCCACCGACAGTTTCGCCCACGTAAGATATCCCGTGCATGGTGTATTCTGATGCTCCGTACTCCGTACGCACAAATGCCCTGCACACCCAAGGCATCATGGTGCACTGTCTGACAGCGCCGTACAGTCAGCCAGCCCTCACTTCTGACCGGTGGCCTTTTGTCCGTTATGGTCGAACTGTAATTCCGACGCAACTTCAACGGCGTACAAGGGCTGGCAGGATACATTTCCATCTTACAGCCCTGCATTGCCAGCCTTGGCAGAGCATGCCATATTGGATGACCAGCGTGCTGTTGACATCCTGTTCTGTGATTCTAGGTTTGGCAACAGTCGACAGTCTGCAACGGTCAACCCTGGCATACTCTTTATTAACATACAGACTCGCAACCATAAAAACAATGTGTTACTTCTTGCACGGTTCACTTTTACGCTCTCTTACCACAGCTCGCTCTCGCGCCCTAGCATTCGTGGCTGATTTTCGCATTGGATGACTGATTTGTTAATACGCCGTACTCCGCAAATCCTGTCGTAAGGAACCGAGAAAAAAGTGGGTGGTTCAACGGGGTGAACCCCTGAACCCTTGTCTGATTTGGTCTCGCGCGCGCACACTCGCAAAAAGCTACCGTTTTCGGTCCAAATTCTCCCTTCTGGCACGGGATGTGCACCCAGTTTGGAGATTTCTTCGGACGAAATGCCGTTGATGACGGTGCGGTTTGTCTCCCATCGTCAAGTCCCTCTCCGTATTCCAATGCACAGCGGACGGGGTATGTCGTACGGGCGCGGACATTTGCATCTGCCTGCCTTCTTTCCTGCTGAGCGTTCCTGACGGCATCGTTTCGCCAGTCGGAAGTAGAAAAAAGGTTCCAAAAGTTCCTTCTACACGCCTCGTTTCTGCTCATACATGCCACAGAGGATCCTCTTTCCCATTTCCTAGGCTTAGCCTTGTTAGGCTCTTCAGAGGGCATTTTGCATTTCGATCCTCTCTGCCATCTGCCAACACAAGACGGCCTGACAGACACAACCCTTTCCCGCTTCCTTCCCCTGTTCTGGTGAATCTGTCCGGCAATCTCTCAGCCGGCGATTGGCCCGCCGGCCGGAAGCGGGCTAAATCGCTGCCGTTTGCGACGGACTCCGCTGCCTCGGTTTTTTCTCTCTGCTTTGTAAACAAAGTTGCATGGATTAAAGGTCGTGGGATGAATGGGGGCACTGAGCGCCACAATTCAAACCCGTTGACAAATATCGAAAAAGGACAACGACTTGTAATGATCGACAAATGAGCAGTGCGAGTACGAATTATTCAAAACGCTCCTACTAAGAAAAAAAAAAAAAAAAAAAAAAAAATTAGACGAGGGTTTGGTTGTTGTATTGCCCACAAAATACATAAAGCATGAAAACTAATTACAAGAGCGGAGCGAGACCAAGAGCAGTGTTGGCAGTGGACAAAAATAAGTCCCTCCGGGTGCGAATTCCGTCCGTTGTTAACGTTGTGCTGGTTTTGGTTCCGTTTTCAGTTCAGAAGATTCGTGCTGTAAACCCCGTTGTAACATCCGAGAGGGATTCGGGCGCTCTAACACCGTCAGCAACGCTAGGTAGGGCTTTGCCTGGCTGACGACGCATTCAACCGTCAAATACACTCAATGCGCCGTATAGCCGTACGGCATGCGCATCGGCGAAATTTGCCCTCTCTGATCATGGCCCTCAATCGATATTATTATCCAACATCTTGGCCCAAGAAGCACAAACCCCTGGTATCTTA